CCCAAATAGTCTTCACCCAAATTTTCATTTTAAGCGTGTCAAGCATGAAGGCAGATTTTTTTAAAAAAATTATTACATGTATTTCCCGACCAGATGCTGCCGCCTTCTTTTTGATTTCTCTTTCAGCTTATCATTACCCGGAGAATTCTACCTATTCTTGGTAACCTCCGGCGCGCGACGATCCCATTCAGTTTGGTGTCGAACCAACATCACGTTGATTCTGGTGGGAGAGTAGTGTAGTGGCATTGGACAATAGCCACACAAAGCTGTGAACACGAGACTACACAGAAAATAGATATCCAATATTTAACGCGGAGAAATACCCAACGATGGAGAAGGCGCGAACAATGAATTGAATGGACTAGGTTGATCGAGTGGCATGGCTCGGCCATGCAGGCGTGGTCTCTGCCGAATGTAACCTTATATCTTCTGTTCATATTAAATATATTGTTCTTTCTCTAGCCTAACCTTGTTCTACATCATGTATTGGTAATTGATACGATACAGTGAGTTGGTGTAGTCGATGGTGTGACTTCCACGTAAGATCTTATGGATTAGGCAGTTATATCATGACAAATCTACAAATTTAGGATTAGGTCTATTATTAAAGCAGTACTAATATCATAGTAGACCACAGTTCTACAGACATGCCTAAGTCGTATTATCTTATCTATACTTTGTTCTCATGTCAACCATTCTCATTGATCCATTCGTCGGTTTGTTCAATTACGATTCAAATTATCATTATATGCTTATTATTACATTATTATCAATATCATGACCGAATGTGGAATTATTAATCTTGTTCGTGCTGTCATTAAATCATGACATTTTCGCAATCATATCACTCACCGAACAAATTATCATTTTATGAAAATTCCACTCCACTTTGTAAGAACTCATTGGGATATTTTTACTATTCAAAAACGTGAAATTTTCCTGCTTTAAGTGAGTTCGTTCCAATTTTTCATGTCATTTTGAACTAATATTGCATTCATTCACTTAGTCGAGGTCAGCAATTTATATTATCACAACATACATTTTTCATTTCGAAATCGCCTCCTATTATGTCTGTGGATGCTTCTGACTAGCTGATTAGTAACCATTACGCTCATTTTATCTATTCTTCCACGTGCATAACTACATTCTGCATCACTTATCACTGGAAAACGCTATTCGAGTACTGCAACTACTATTCTATTCTATACCCATCGCTCGGTATATCAGAACATAGAGTTTAGAGCTAGTCTCTCAAAGATACACTCTTGTTCGTCACATCCAAGTCAGTCTCATAAGTCGCCATCGTTAATCATATGTATTGGTATTTTTGTCATGCCTTGGTACGGTTTTGTAACAAACGAGATCGAGTGCATCTCCCTCAAACCACTCTAGGCTTCATTACCAAAAAGGAATACGACTCTACGTACCTCGTCTACTCAGTCACTATTCTGTTCCTCTGGTCATTCTACTAATACATATTTAACGACAACTCAATTCATCTGACATAACGCAGACGACAAAGTTCACTGACTTCACACTTCAAATTTTATGATTATTATCAATTGCAGTACAGCAACGAATATCACCCGTCGAGGCAGATATCATTTCACGACTTTCCTATTATCATCCTACGCATTTAAATTCGAATTCACCCATCACTAGTCAATGCGATTTATTCTGCTACGGCTCAACAGAACATGTATTTCGCATATTTCACTATTTTGTCAGCATCACAGACCAATTTCTGTCATATTCTACTCGAGCCATTTTGACGATTTATTTCGCTGTTATACCTACAAACAATCTATTACTACTTTCACGATACTTTGAATCACTCATACAAACATGTTATTTTATCGTTCAGGCAGTCATAGCATTAGTACATGTTAATTTTTTGTACGCTCATTAATTTGCTCATATTCACATGCTAACATTTTCATTTTTGTCCGAGCCTTTGCGATATTCTAAATGGTTTGGATTATTTTTTCTGGTAAGCGTTTTTTTAGCGAATTAGTTTTCTACGGGATGGGGACGCTAACCCCATGCCCAACCCTCCTCCTTTACCCGGGCTTGGGACCGGCAGCAACCCTATAAGAGCTACAGGCGCCGAACAATCCGTTGAGTGGAACTCATCACTATACATCAACTTCATTGATTATGAAAAGGCATTCGACAGTGTAGATAGGAAGACATTATAGAAACTTCTTCGACACTACGGAGTTCCTGAGAAGATTGTCAATATTATCCGGAACTCATACGACGGACTACAGTGCAAAGTAGTGCATGGAGGACAGCTGACAGATGCATTCCAAGTAAGGACCGGAGTCAGACAAGGCTGTTTACTCTCTCCCTTCCTCTTTCTTCTGGTGGTCGACTGGATTATGAAGACCTCAACATCTGAAGGAAAACACGGAATACAATGGACAGCTCAGAATCAATTAGACGATTTGGACTTCGCAGATGACTTAGCCCTCCTATCACGTACACACGAACAGATGCAGATGAAAACAGCCAGTGTAGCAGCAGTCTCTGCATCAGTAGGCCTCAGCATACACAAAGGGAAAACTAAGGTCCTCAAATTCAAAGCGGAGAACAGCAATTCAATCACACTTGACGGCGAAATTCTGGAAGATGTAGAGTCCTTCACATACCTCGGAAGCATCATCGATGAACAAGGAGGTTCAGATGCAGACGTAAAGGCGAGGATCGGCAAAGCAAGGGTCGCATTCCTACAATTGAAGAACATATGGAACTCAAAACAACTTTCAACCAATATCAAAGTGAGAATCTTCAATACCAACGTCAAGGCAGTTCTACTGTATGGAGCTGAAACTTGGAGAACTACAACAACCACAATCAAGAAAGTACAAGTATTTATAAATAACTGTCTACGCAAGATACTCAACATCCATTGGCCGGATACCATCAGCAATAGCCTTCTGTGGGAGAGAACAAACCAAATTCCAGCTGAAGAAGAAATTAGGAAAAGACGATGGAAATGGATAGGACATACATTACGCAAATCGTCAAACTGCATCACGAGGCAAGCCCTAACTTGGAATCCTGAAGGGAAGCGAAAAAGAGGAAGGCCAAAGAACACATTGCGTCGGATAATAGAAGCAGATATGAAAACGATGAATTACAACTGGACGGAGCTAGAAAGGATTGCCCAGGACAGGGTTGGATGGAGAATGCTGGTGAGCGGCCTATGCACCTTCACGAGGAGTAACAGGCGTAAGTAAGTAAGTAAGTTTGCGATATTCATGTATTCTTTTGCATAAGCATGACATTTTCATATAATACACTCACCCCTCATGTGACACTGTACTTTATCGAGTGTTGTACAATTTTTTGGCTACTTATTGTTAACGTTAGCTTCATATCACTTGAGTATTATTTTCGAAAACAGACATTTTTTAAATGTGCTATTTTCTACAAGGGGGCTATGTAGTGTCAGTTATTATGGCAAGCCCATATACCTTATTCTAACTTCCGGACATCCTATTTTATTCATTTTACTTGAGCCATATTTTGACCTTGTCAATTATTCGCTTATTAGCCTTGACTGTTTTCACATGAGCGTATATGTGTGTACACTTCATGTCCCATGACTCATCACATGTCTGTAGTTCATTTTGTCTGCCTATAAATATTGAGTAATGTTCGGCTTGAATTGGAGTTGGCTTTCCAGCCATCTTCCCAGCGCGTCGTTTCGTTTTGTTCTATCGGATTCACTTTACATACAAAATATATGTATTCAAATGCCATTCTCGTTAATTGACTTATTTAATTCCGTTATGGACTAACGTGATTTAAGTCGACGATGATATACGAGAATCAGCGATAGCAAACATCCATACAATCTAAAATGGGATTCGAGAACAAAGGGCCCCTAAAAATTCCTTGAGTTTGTCAATATCTCGAAGGAAGACTGTATTGAACCTTTGTAATGCTGTTCTTCCGGTTGCCCATAACTCTTTTAGCTTTGGTTTCATCTTGGCAATCATTAGGTGTCGGTCTGAAGCTGTCAGCTCCTATCCTGGTTCTCATGTCCATCACTGTCTTTCTGACATTTTTAGTGATGGTATAATTTCCTCTTCATGACAGGAGTACAGCAGAATCTCTTCCGTACCTAACCTTTTCTCTCCAGCTTGAGTCCAATGGGTTTCGCTGATTCCGAGTACTGTCAAATCGTATCTCCTCATTTGCTTAGCTACTGAACTGGTCTTCCTGGTCTCCCACATTGTCTGGACATTTAAGGCACCTATACATTGATTGTCATTGTAGTTGTTAGAAAGGCATCGATTTCATGACTCCCAAACAATATCGGCTTACAGCGTATGACGCCATAACTCTTCCTTAAACCCGGATAGCAGAGTTCAGATGGTTTAATTTACTTATTATGGTTAGCGTTGTCTTAGCAAGATTGTTTTTTACGGGATCGGGTTTGCGATCCCGTGCTCAACGCTTTTTCTTTAATCGGACGTGGGACTGTCAGTAGCCCTTAAAATGTTACAAGCATAGTATATCCCTACATACTCAACAATAAATATTGAAGACTTACAGGACTATTTATTTTGAGAAATCATTTTCCGCTGCGAAAGTTTGCCTACGCTAAGACCCTGTGCTCGACAGCTCCGGCAATAGTTAAGGACTGGGTCTGTAGGAAATTACTTCCTGCACAGACGTCACTCCGAGTGACCAGTTTGCCTCATATTATCGACGAGAACAATACAACTTCCACTGTAGTGAATTGGTTCCTCATTATATACTGACGACTCTCCTGACTTTCTAAAGCAAAGTACAATCATTTTTACATTCTCCTTCACAGAATTCTACGAAAATATGTACAATTTTCTCAATATCAGTACATGAGCTGTAAGGAAACGGTTAGCTGACACTAACTTGTCATACGTATATTGGACAAAACAAGACAATTTGAATGGGCTCGCCACTAAGTCCTGTCGTTACAGATGCACTTATGGAAGTCTTAGTTTGATATGCGATTATCTCAAACTATTTTTATTCTGAGTGGAAAATTTGCTGACCACTTTATACGATTTGGTGGGTACACTCCCACTCCTTTATCGTTGAAAAAGCTGATTGCATTTGGTAAAGTCGGCTCGGTTCAGGAGTCTGCATCATTCTTGGCTTATGAACTTCCTGTTCGCCTAGCAAATATTTTGCAAGAAATCCATTTGCTCCCAGAACAACTCGTCAGAACTCCTTCTGCATCTCTTGTGAGACGATGGTATGTTTAATTTAGAAAATGTATACTTCTATAGGTACGAGCAAAGCTTCTGCGAATTGATGGACTTCGAAAAAATAAAATGGGACGAAAAAAGTTTAAATCAATTTAACGAAATTCTCGCCAGTATACGTAGTCGTCACACGACCGTCGTTGAAACGATGGCACAGGTTTCCGTGTATTTCTTATTCGATATGCTAGGTATGTAATCCAGGGTGTAATGGAAATGCAGGAAAACTACAAGACTGACATAGTTACAAACAACCAGGTGCAATACTTCTTGGATAGGTTTTATATGATGAGAATCAGTATTCGTATGTTGCTTAGCCAGCACTGTAAGTATATATTAAACCATGAGATTTTCAAATGTTTATCATTGTTCAGTTGTTCACTATTCAGAACAGTTGATTGTATTTAGTATTTTGCTGCGTAGAAAGTTCTCATGTTACACATCATGCGGCCGAATGTCCTAACCTAATCCGTTTATACTTTTTATCTAATGGCTTTATAAATATTTAAGAATTTAAATCCTTTACAATGGGTTTTTTAAACCCTTTAAAAGACTATGAATGGGTAACATTCAAGCTATTTTAAAATTAGTCTAATGGCATTAGCTAAGGCTTAGAAATTTCAACTGTTTGTTTTTCATTTTAGTGCTTATGTTTGGTTCAGAGTTGAATAAACATAGAAGATACGTAGGCTCGATTGATCCTGATTGCAATGTTCGAGAAATATTGGATGATGCATATGAGGATGCCAAATTTCTTTGCGAGCATTACTATTCAGCGGCTCCTGAAATGAAGGTTCGGGTTCATAGTGGTAAGTTCTTAAATCCAATTAGTTTTTCGGTGTTCAGTACTTTGAAACCCATTTCACAATGGTCCTGATTGTAAAACGATTTATGAACATGTGACGCGATATACGGACTTACCCAAAGCAACGAGACTCGAGTATTTGTTCCTAGGTGACGTTTCGTTAATAATGTAAAGCTATAGTGTATTAAATTCGGGGTATAACTTAAAGTTACCGTAGCATTGGATTTCACCATCCTTCGAAATCCCTTGTGGTACCTCACTAAGTTTTTATTCCAGTAAACGTATGAATAAAAGTCGAGTGTTTTGCTGTGTAGGGAGACAACAGCCACCAGCATAATAACATACATTTCACTAGTATGAAGCCAAATTATGTACAAGGTCTTCAAATTTTACACTTAGTGCAGTAAACCTAAAATCAACAAACTCTAGTACTTGGTAGTTATCATATGTCAAAGTTTTGTATCGAATAAAAATTTATGTAATTCAAATAACAGGTGATTCACTTTGCTTTAGAATTACACATAACTACTGATAACGTGTCAATATTAGTTATTCATTATTATCCTCGTAATTTCTTAAGATTTTTGGTTAGTTAACTAATGATATTCAAATGTGCAACTGGTCACCATAGTTATAGGTCTGAATAAAAGTACGTTGGAACTTAACAAAGTTGAATGTTCTAACAGTCTTGAAGCAGATCACTATAGAGTATACCAACCTTGGATCGTGTACGTTTAGACATTCTTCAAAACTATAAATCATGATTATAAATTAAGTAGTTGCTTCTGTTGATACGATATCCATCCGTAGGTGGCTTTTTAGTTTTGGTTATCATATTGGATGCATTTCCAGTGATTACGAATATATCGTCCTCACTATTAACCTAAACGATTCCCTACAATTTACGTTACTTAAAATAACTATTGGTTTTCCAGGATGTTTACAGGTTTTCCTAATATTAAGTTTGACAGATTAAGGGTTAGTGGGTGTTCATAATAATTTAGATTTGACGCTTTCTTAAACTTCATATATTTTTGATTATGTTAGTTATTTCTATGTAACTAATCATTTTTTCATTATTTAGCAATTTAAGTTATAACATGACTTAAATAGCTCAATGATTTTGTAATCCAATATGTTCAATCCATCTTTGTTATTCCATTCGTAAAATGCTGCCCTCCTAGGTTTCATAACAAAGAATTTCGAGGTAATTATAGGTTAAAGCTTGAGATTTGGGCATTTCGAGTGCTTCGGGTGTTTTGTAGAGATGCTGAGGGATTGTATGAGTGTTTTTAGGCTGTTATACATAATTTTAAGTAATCTCAAACTGGTCGGATCACATTTCACGAAAGGCACTTGTATACCTGCGGGAACCAGACACCCGGGTGTGGTAGTATTTATCTCCCCTATGATGAGCAGCTAGTTTCTTAAACTTTATTAAAACAAACTTTCTGCGTTGTGATTAACTAATTGGGTGTTAATATGACCTGAGTTCTATCAGTGTAGCTAAGCAGTTGTAATAGTGGGGTGGTAGAGCTATGTAGCACACCATCTTTCTCATTTTTCAACAGCTTGTAATCAGTAATCATCAATATAGAATCCGGCACAAACGTTGAGCGCCTGAGAATAGATTATCACAGGCCAGTTTAGAAAGAAATGCATGTTCTATTCACATCATATGCTGCCAAATACGGAGACCGGCGCAAACATCAATACTAAGATGTCAAGATAAGCGCACTAACAAATGAATAACGTTTGTTTACGGAAAGTTAACCGAACTTTTAAATTTGCTTATAATCGTTTAGCTCTATCCTACCGTAACGCGGAGTCAGCCAAAATAAATGAATATCATCTAAGTATCCTGACAATGATACCAGTGCCAAATTAGCACTGACATACGCTTTACTTTGGTTATCTCTAAAGTCAAAGTCACAAAAACTACTAAAAATGTCAGTTAAATTTGGAATCGCGCTGCCTATCTTGTGGTCAAGTACTATGTATCTTTGCCAAAGCATGTGAGTCAAGCTTGTTGATTAACATATTCAATGTAAAGTCGGATTTGCGCAAAACATTTTCTTCATGGACTAATAATACAAGACCGATAACTCATTTTCCTAGTCACAAGAGTATGAATCTATGCAACCAGTGTTCGAAAGTCAATAACAAGGACTGTATCGTGACAGAAAATCAACCAAAGTCATTTGCTTTACTTATGGTCTACGTTTAGTTCATAAAGCGATTGTTCGTATGCGGCTACTGAACACGTTCAAGCAGAACTCAACTGTGGCACTGACAACTCTATAAAGAAAGGCCAACGCTAAACCTAACAGGCAGTCCAAGGTCAAATCAACCAGGAAATAATTTTTAAAAATACGGAGAAAATCTGAATTCCTACTGGTTTTGGGCAAATTGTTTTTTACATCACTCTCTGTTGGTGCTGTAAACTGTACATAGATAACTGGATCGTTAATAAAAAACTTAACGTCGGTAGCTCTCCTATATGGTATACTTGTCCGATATTTTTTCATCGTACAGTAACATTAGGGGATCATATATTCACTTGGTAATATACACGTTTACAGAAGTAGGTGGAAAAGATCTAAAAGGTGGTCAGAGGTTAAAATAAATCCAGCAAGTTTTGAACGAATGTTTTTTAGCTTCGTTTCTGCGGTAAGTTACTTTCTGGGGGCTGAAATCACTGAATACTTTGTCACAATATGATATAACCCAGAAGTCATTAAGAGGACGAAACAAAAATATTTAGTTGGGTTTTCTGGTATATCAAAACCTTACTTTAGGAAGTAGATTGATTGAATCATTTCCAGGTGTTACAACTGTATGGTCTTAACATTGACAAATATGACTTTGATCCTAGACATTCCTTGGGATATCTGGTTGTGTGACTGGAAGTCAAAGGGTTATTTGGAATAAGGTAAATGTATTTCCATGTATTCGTTTATTTTAATGCCTTTCAGGACTGATGAGTCTAAGAAAGATTGGAATGCGATGAAAACTTACTTATTTACGCCTGTTACCCCTAGTGGAGGAGCATAAGACGCCCGCCAGCATTCTTTATCACACTCTGTCATGAGCAGTCCTTTCCAGTTGCTGTTCATTCTTTTGGTGCCTGCTTACAATTCTGATCTCAGTGTGTCCCATGGTCTTCCAATTTGCCTCTTCCATTCAGAAATCCAAGTTAGCGCTTGCCTCGTGATGTAGTTTGATAATTTCCATAATGTATTTCCTATCCACCTCTAGCGTCTTTCCCTAATTTCCTCTCCATCTGGAAGTTGGTTTGTTCTCCACAGTAGGATGTTGCTGATGGTATCCGGTCAACGGACATTCAGTATCTCACATAGACAATTGCTTATAAATACTTGTACTTTTTTGATGATGTTTGTGATAGTTCTCCGAGTTTCAGCTCCGTACATTAGAACTGTCTTGACGTTCGTATTCAGGATTCTCACTTTGATATTGGTTGACAGTTGTTTTGAGTTCCGTAAGTTGTTCAACTGTAGGAATGCTGTCCTTGCTTTGCCAATCCTCGCCTTTACGTCTGCATCAGATTCTCCTTGTTCATCTATGATGCTGCACAAGTACGTGAAAGTTCCCACCTCTTCCAGAGTTTCTCCATCAAGCGTGATTGGGTTGGTGTTCTCTGTATTATATTTGAGGATCTTCGTTTTTCCTTTGCACATGTTTAGAAAAAGTTGAACCAAAAGGGAAATTCACATTAATCTTTAGGGTTGTGGTAGCTATACATTTTATGAGGTAGTTGTTCACTGGTTACTTAATTATTTTCAACAGTTAGGCTGTAGGTTCAAACTTCACTTCATTTAGACTAGTTATTTAATAGTATGAATATTAGGGTATTGAGAATCTAGCATTCATGATATCGTGTTCTCATCCTTGTCTGACACCGTTCCTCACATGGAATGCATCTGTCAGCTGTCCTCCATGTACAGCTTTGCACTGTAATTCGTCGTACCGATTCCGTATGAGGTTTACGATTTCCTCAGGTACACCATAGTGTTGAAGAAGTTTCTGTAGGGTCGTCCTATCCACATTGTCAAGTGCTTTCTCATAATCAAGGATGTGGATGTATGGTGACAAGTTCCATTCAATCGACTGCTCAACAATGATCTGTGGTGTCGCGATTTATTCTGTACACGACAGATCCTTACGGAATCTAGTCTGTTGACCTCGAAGACGTCTATTGAATCTTTCATCCGGTTCAATAGCACTGTTGAGAACGTTTCTTAGTGCTGATAGTTGTGTGATGCTACCGTAGTTTTCACATTCGCTCAGATCTCCTTTCTTTGGTATCTTGATGAGGTGTCATTCTTTCCAATCTCACCATTTGTTCTTCCTCACAAATCTTCCTGAATAGAACGTGGAGCATGTATGTGATTACTTTTATGGTTGACTTCAGTGCCTCAGGTGGTATGTTGTCAGGTCCTGTTGCTTCCCACTCTTGATTTGTCTGATGACTGGTTTCTTCGATCGTTGGTGGGGTGACATCTATGGAAAGGTCTGTAGGTGCTGCTTTGATGTCAGGTGGATTCAATGAAGTTGGACTATTCAAGTGGTTTCTGATTATTTGTATAAAAGTGTATATGTTGCCATTAAAATGAGGGGGTTTTGATTACTTTGTTTTTTTCAGGTGACAATGCAAAAATTGAATTTGTCTATGTACCTTCGCATTTGTATCATATTTTGTTTGAACTGCTGAAAGTAAGTTTTTATCTTGTTAATTTTTTCATGTGTGAATTTGACCGAAATTGGAGATGAATGATTAATGGGAAGATGACTTAAGTAGTTCGTTTCGATATCCTCATAATAAATTGCTCAAAATAAGGATCATGTTGCTTATATTCATAGGCGAACGAAAAGTGCTATAAACTATAAAAATATTGCTACTCAAATTCAAACAGACTGAATATAACATAGTTTTTTTATTATAGTATTAATGTATTAACCATTTACTTAATGATTCACTTGTTGACTTGGAATATGCTGATGACGTAGTTCTATTTGGTGAAGACTCTGACAGAATGTAGAGTTTTCTGACCACTCTAAGCAAAAATGCAAGCATGTTCGGGATGCTATTCTCCCCCTCGAAATGCAAAATGTTGCTTCAGGATTGGGTTGCATCGGCACCCGAACTAATGATAGGGAGTGAAGTAGTTGGGCGTGTCGATCGCTTCCCTTATCTTGGAAGTCTCATCAGCCTTTGTGATCTGATGTGTGACGAAATCTCAGCACGGATACAGAAGGCTCGACTAGCTTTTGCCAACTTGCGTCATTTATGGCGTAGGCGAGATATCCGTCTATCAAGCAAAGGACGGGTTTACTGCGCAGCAGTTCGTTCCGTCCTACTTTATGGCAGTGAAACGTGGCCGGTAAGAGTAGAGGATATTCATAGGTTACTATTATTCGATCATAGGCGCCTTCGAAACATTGCTCGTATATCCTGAGACCATCGAGTAAGTAATGCAGTTGTTAGAAAACGGGTACTAGGTGAGGATGGCAAATCAATTAATGAAGTAGTGAAACTTCATCAGTTGAGATAGCTGGGAAACGTGTTACGTATAATTGGGATACTTTGTATGATGATAAGGATAAGATTCATTAATAAATAATTCTAGTTAATTACCATGTAAAAATTACAAAAAACAAGAAACTCAAAAAATGATTAGAAATCAGTGAAAATCTATTCACAAGAAATAATGAGTTATAGTAATAAGAGTAATTTCCTGAAGTTCTAGTGAGAAAGCTAGGGGCAACCAGACCAAAACATGGCACAAATCCATGAAGTCACTGGCAAGTGGACTGAGCCATGTTGTTAGGTGTAGACTACCTGGTTGGGGACCGCGAGATGACAGCAACCGGTTGTTAGAGACCCTGAATAACATGGCTCAAAATCGTTTGCAATGGCGCAGGTGCATTCACTCTTTGTGTTCTCCCAAATTTTGATCTCCTGATTCCTCACTGCCTCTTTTTTTTCACTTCCCAAATTTATTTTACTGGATTATACTCCTTGAATAACGTCTTCAAGCCCTAATGTTTCCGATTACTTCTTATACTCTTACCGTCTCTACCACTATGGGATTTGAATCGACCACTGCATTTCTGTGCTAATGTGGTGTGGAAACTCGAACTGATGTATGTACGTACGAAGTTCTACGTTGTTCCTGCCTGACTGAGTGAGAAATATTGACCAGTGCAGTTCAATACACTTAATACAATAGTGGATATGTCGTTCAGTTTCGTGGATTGGTTGAAGTTAGACATTAACATCGTTGGATGCTGGCCGGCTCAGTGGTCTAAAAGTTAAGTGTTTGCGCGCGAGACTGACACGTCCTGGATTCCAATCTCGTGAGAAGGGGTCGTGGGTACGCACTTCTGAGGAGTCCCATATTAGGATGAGACGTCCGTCAAGTACTTCCAGGTTTTCCATGATCGTCTAACTTCAATTAACTCAAGTAGGTAAACTAAGCGATAGGGAAGGATGGCAAATCAATTGATGAAGTAGTGAAACTTCATCAGTTGAGATGGCTGGGACACGTGTCACGTATGTCCAACCACCGACTGCCTCGACGTGCGATGTTCAGTGGTATAGGAGTAGGTTGGAAGAAAGCTAGGGGCGGCCAAACCAAAAGATGGCACAAGTCCATGAAGTCACTGGCAAGTGGACTGAGTCATGTTGGTAGATGTAGACTACCTGGTTGGGGACCGCGAGATGATAGCAACCTATGGTTAGAAATCCTGAATGACATGGCTCAAAATCGTTTGCAATGACGCAGGTGCATCCACTCTTTGTGTTCTCCCAAATTCTAATCTTCTGAATTCTTCATGTCCCTTTTTTCCTCTTTCCAAATTTGTTTCACTGGATTATACTCTTTAAATAACATCTCCAAACCCTAATCTTCCCGATTACTGCTTATACTCTTGCTACATCTACCACTACGGGATTTGAATCGACCACTGCATCTCTGTGCTAATGTGGTGTGGCAACTCGAACTGATGTACGTACGTACGAAGTTCTACGTTGTTACTGACTGACTGACTAGAAAGCAAAAAATGACATTTCGTGACCCCATCTGTCTCTTACAGGTTAATACAGGTTTAGGTAGTACAACGAATCAATCGAATCACATATAGTCAGTGAATATAAACAAATTTGGGGATGAAATGGTAATGTTTGTCGAAAACCATGTGGTTTAGTATGTGGATGGGTGTGAATAAATGTGAGATTATGCCGTGGACAAATGCTCCCCGTTTAATATATAAGTCCATAAGTTATAAAAGCCTTAGTGATTTCGTTTATCTTCGATATTCTGTGAAACAAGTCACAACTTCACTAAGTTACCCCTTACTGCAAAGTGCATCACAACCAATGTAATCCAATCTCTAGTCGCAACTCTCCGTTGAAATGGGTGGGTATGTCTTTTATTTGAACTAATAACTTCGAAAGCTTAATCGTAATTTTATGAAGATCTTTAATGCAGCTCTGTTCCATATTTCATCAGTTTTTTCCTTTCTACTGTTGAATTTTCTATACGTGTTGGTAGAGCACCCTATTTCAGGAATAATAAGTGGTAGATAAGTCCACTGGTGAGTTACAAAACCTGTGTTTTTAGTTGCTTGATAAATCGATTGTGCTACAAAATGTAAATATGAAAATGTCCAATTGAATGTACGTTTTCGGCTCAATGATATCGGGTTACAACAACGTCCTTGAATTCATTTGTTCTATGTCCTCATCATCTGGAAGTTTCCCTCTACCTACTGTTTATGAAAAACTATAGGTCCTCTTAGTTGATTTTGATAAACCCCCTGTTCAACCCAATTAGCCTATCATTTAATTTATGATGTCATTAGTAACACTTTCAAAGAATCGTTTAAGGTAACATAAAAAGGTTCTTTTCTGATCAATAAGTGTAGAGCTTGAATCGAACTGTTTTCATTACAAGGAGTTGTGGAACTAAAATGAGTGAGGATTTGAAATTTAAACAAGTTGGTTATTGTCCAGTCCATGTATTAGCCAGAATATTAGATCGCTATTCGTGTGCTTCTCAAAATCTCATTTTAAAGTAATTTGTATCCTATTTTAAACTTACTTTTGTGAGTTAATACAACTTAGGTATTGCTATTAGTATATGTAGGATTAATATTCGATGTTTGTGTTAATTTTCATTCTTCATAGAATGCCATGCGAGCAGTGGTGGAGCAGCATAGTAGGGCTGACCAACTTCCTCCCATTAAAGTCTTGATAGCAATTGGTCAGGAAAATGTGGCGATCAAAGTAAGAATAATTCAGAATGATTTACACCCCAATATTGTTTTATGTATATTATAATGTCTTCACTAATGTGTGTGTATATATAGTAAAAGTTGATTATTACTGAATGACTGATAAATTAGAGCCGTTAATCCAAGTCGCTATACCACGACAGTATGACGAGATGAGATTGGTATAATGACTATCAAAGTAATTGTAATAATTGTACTAGCAATTGGGAATTAGAAGATTAAACATTGTGATTATAATTATATTGTATTAAAGTTATCGTAGTGTCTGTTTATAAACCGTAACGGATGTTTGCATGAAATGTTCATAATCTCTTGTGTATCTCGGAAAAAGCCATCTGGTGTTGTAATGGGACTTGGAAAAACGTACTTTCTTTTGCATTCAGTTAGGGCGCTACTGACATAAAGCTGCAATGCAGTTCCTGCGATTTCATACTTACCAAGTTATTTTCCAAAGGTTGAGGTTCTTTGATGTAAATCGTGTCTAATTTAGTTTTATGACATACGAGATGTTTCTGTTCTGATGAGACATCTTAAAGTGTTGTATTTGGGCTTTTTGAGTATGAATATCTGTTTCGAAATGATTACATTTGGTACAAAACTAAACAGTTAACGTTGTCAGTCAGTCAGTCAGTAACAACGTAGAACTTCGTACGTACGTACATCAGTTCGAGTTGCCACACCACATAAGCACAGAGATGCAGTTGTCGATTCAAATCCCGTAGTGGTAGAGGTAATAAGAGTATAAGCAGTAATCGGGAAGATTAGGGTTTGGAGATGTCATTGAAAGGGTATAATACAGTGAAATAAATTTGGAAAGAGGAAAAAAGGGACATGAAGAATTCAGAAGATTAGAATTTCGGAGAACATAGAGAGTGGATGCACCTGCGTTATTGCAAACGATTTTGAGCCATGTCATTCAGGATTTCTAACCATAGGTTGCTATCATCTCGCGGTCCCCAACCAGGTAGTCTGCACCTACCAACATGACTCAGTCCACTTGTCAGTGACTTCATGGACTTGTGCCATGTTTTGGTCTGGCCGCCCCTAGCTTTCTTCCAACCTACTCCTATACCACTGAACATCGCACGTCGAGGCAGTCGGTGGTTGGACATACGTGACACGTGTCCCAGCCACCTCAACTGATGAAGTTTCACTACTTCATCAATTGATTTGCTATCCTTACCTAGTACCCGTTTCCTAACAACTGTGTTACTTACTCGATGGTTCCAGGATATACGAGCAATGTTTCGAAAACACCTATGATCGAATACTAGTAACCTACGAATATCCTCTACTCTTACCGGCCATGCTTCACTGCCATAAAGTAGGACGGGACGAACTGCTGCGCAGTAAACCCGTCCTTTGCTTGATAGACGGATATCTCGCCTACGCCATAAATGACGCAAGTTGGCAAAAGCTAGTCGAGCCTTCTGTATCCGTGCTGAGATTTCGTCACAAACCAGACCACAAAGGCTGATGAGACTTCCAAGATAAGTGAAGCGGTCGACACACTCAACTACTTCACTCCCTATCACTAGTTCGGGTGTCGATGTAACCGAATCCTGAAGCAACATTTTGCATTTCGAGGGAGAGAATCGCATCCCGAACATGCTTGCATTGTTGCTTAGAGTGGTCAGAAGACTCTGCATTTTGTCAGCGTCTTCACCAAATAAAACTATGTCATCAGCATATTCTAAGTCAACAAGTGAACCTCCCGGTAGAAGTTCAACCCCTGGAAATTTAGATGAGGAGAGTGTTATCTCTAAAAGTACGTCGACCACAAAGTTGAACAAGAATGGGGAGAGTGGACAGCCCTGACGAACACCACTTGAGGTAATCAATTCTGATGACAGTTCGCCATAAGCTCTCACTCTACCAGTTGTGTTCGAGTAGAGAGCCTTTATAAGGTTAATGTACTTGTTTGGTACTCCTTTCAGTGACAAACACTGCCATAGAACCTCACGAACAACATAGTCGAATGCCGCCTTAAGGTCGAGAAATACTACCATTGTGGGGCGTCTGAATGTGTGTCTGTGTTCCAGAACCTGACGTAGTGTGAATATCTGATCTATACAACCACGTCCAGGTCGAAAACCGGCCTGGTTTTCTCTAATCTGCTCTTCACGAGCTTTGATTAGGCGTCGAATTATTATTGAGGCTAGTATTTTAGACACTATATTAGTCAAACTGATTCCTCTGTAATTGTCACAGGAGGACTTTTGTCCTTTCTTATAGACTGGCACAATCAGTGATTGAGACCAGTCAGATGGGATTACGTCCAGTTCCCAAATTCTACCTAAGACCTCGGTTAATCTCATTGCTAATACTGGACCACCATCCTTAAAAATCTCAGGAGTAAACCTGTCAGGGCCTGCTGCTCTCCCTCGTTTCAGATTTCCTATGGCTTTTTCAACTTCGTAAGGGACGGAGGACCTACATTAATTTGCCATTCAGGTTAACTAGAGATCGTGGGAAACCGAAGTGTGGCTGAAGGCCAGTTGAACTGACCCCTAAAGTGTTCTGCCCATCGATCCAATCTCCTGGATTGAGAATGAATAATATGTCCATCTTTCTCTGACATTGTTTCGCTAACGGTCGGGTTCCTAATTCCGGTTTCCTTAACGAGTCTGAACAATTGTCTGCTATTACCTATTGCCGCTGCCTTTTCCATCTCTCTTGCTTTCGCTACCCACCACTGTTCGCGATCATTGCGTAGACTTCTTGTCAGCTTGCGCTTAAGCTGACTCCGCTCCTCATTATGTTCAGAGCCAGGTGGAATGAGTTTCCGAGCATCTATCAGTGCGATAGATGCTGCTGAGATCCAGTGTTGCTCCCTAACCTTCTGGTTTACCTTACTAGCAGATATCACTGCTGTTTCCACAGCTTTTCGGATATCATTCCATGCTGCCTCAGGGTGGGCATCACATACATGGCTGCCTAACTGTTTTCCTAGTTGTTCCTGAAATATACTCTTAGCTTGACTATCATTAAGTAGGGCCCTAAGAGGTTTCCTTGCAGTGTCTTTCCTACGTCCAGTAAGACGCAAGCAAATACGCGCTCGCACTAGAGCATGATCTGAATCTAGACATGTGCTCCAGAATAAGCGACAGTCTTCTATCGAGCCCCTCCATCGGTGGCTGATAGCGATGTGATCTATTTGGGTCCAACGTTGGGACGAATTAGGGGGTCGCCATGTCAAAAGATGTTTTTCCTTATGCTTAAAGTTAGTATTTGCAAGTAACAGGCGGTTATCTGAGCATAGCTGCAACAGACGGTCGCCATTATCTGTTCTTTGAGCCACGATGCTATAAGATCCGCCTAGGTGTCTTTCCCTATCGCTTAGTTTACCTACTTGAGCATTAAAGTCACCGGCCACTATTACTACATCCGAGCGCTTAGCTTTTCGGAGAAGGTCCGAAAGCTTTCTGTAAAACTCATCTTTTACATCATCTGAGCTGCAGTCAGTGGGAGAATAGGCAGAGACGACGAAGAGGCAACGACGAGTGTCCCTATCTTTTCGGATCCTCATTGTTCCATTCAGTCGGACAGCGCACAAACGACTGTCTACTGGGATCCACTCTAAGAGAGCTAGTTCTGCCCTAGGACTCAATGCTATACCTACGCCGGCGAGGCCACGGGAAGCAGAATCAGGGCTTCCAGATACACGAAGCGTAAATCGAGTCGGTTCTTTATTTTGGCATGGTGAGGTCAAATGAATGACGCTACTCGGATCCTGTATGCGCGTTTCGGAGACGCAGCACACATCGATGGCGCGAGATTCTAAAGTCCTAGCTAAGGAAGCCTGCTGTCCTATTTGGCAAAGTGTTCGTACGTTAAAAGCTCCTACGTGTAGTTTAGAGCGTGGTTTCAGGAGACCAGGAATAACGTTCCACGTACTCGAATCGTTTGCTCTAGCGGTGCGAGGTGATAAAGAGATGTGAGGAGGGTTAGTCATGGAGATAAGAGAGGTATTAGGAGGTGTAGGAAGGATTTGAATGTGACCAACTTGGTCTCGTGTGCTGTTACGGGTATGAGGGCTGGTGTCACTTCCCGGCTGCCCACACCGTGGAAGGGTATTTCTTGAGGAACCTGAAAAAGAAATTGGATTAGTGTTGGTCTTAACGACCTGGGAGCGTGACCGCAGAGCCCAAGGGACAACTGCTTGAGGCCGGTCGCGCACGGCCTTTCCGTGGGTTTTTTTTGACGTGTTAGCTCCGTTCTTCAAAGGGCCTTACCGCCGGAGACGGAGATCCGTGAAGTAAGGTGAGATGTGACATTTTTAAGGTCGACCTTTTCTAACCCCACCCCTCCTTGTGGGAAGGCAGCATCGCTGTCATGCTGGTTGTCCGAGGGAAACACCTTACTGCTGTCACACCTCTCTACAGTCAGCAGTACGACTTCGCCCTCAGACCTTGAGTTGCTGCTTTTAGTCTTACCGTTCTCCAATCGACCTGCCTGGCATGGTAGAACCTACAGGAACATATGTTCCAGCCAATATAGCTCGGTTGGGTCATCACGATAGGCAAGCCCGACCACCGCGTCAAGGTAGCAGCTTCGGTCGGGAGTTAACGTTGTAAGGAAGAAGATTGCATCACACAGTGACTAAGAATTCAACAGCTATTGGAAACCAGGGCGTACTGTACAGCCTCCTCAACAGTGCATACTCTACTCCACCAGAGATCCAATGTCGAACCTTTACGAGCAAACTTGTTATCTTTATGTCACTGATATCATATGTTTCAGTCTATGATTTTAAGTGATATACCAGATAAAATAGTATATGATTTCAATACGGATTGCTAATTAATTTCATTTAGTTACATATTTTGTGTAATAGCGTGATCTCTTAGTCATTTATATTTTTGATGTTAGAATTTATTGCTTTGAAAAGATGAGATTGTAATATTGACTATGTAGTTTAGTTCCTGACTTGTACAGCTAGTGATTTTCATCAACGAAACGATTTTAAAGTTTTTCGATGGCGATCTAATTTTGTAGGTCGCAGTATATATATATATATATATATATATAGTTTAAAATTTTGTAACGGAGACTCGAATGCTATAAAGTATTGCATTAGCTGACATTGAAATACCGGCATTAAACCTGTTCGCGTACAAATTATGGAAAGGAAATTTGTGAGTTCTGAATATGTAAATAGAAGTAGGGAATAAATTTGATCTAGAAATTCGAATCTTATGAATTTCCAATAAAGTACCGTACAATTGAATGGTACCATTTGACCCTCACCAACCTTGTTGAATAATGTGGATTCAGTGAAAACTGTCTTTAACTTCACTGTTGTTACTGTTATTTATTCAGGAATCGTCGCTTATGCCTAATTCATGTACTACATATGACTATCAGTCAATTTCTTCCCCTGTGAATCTTCTCACTATTTATAGTGATAGCTTTGAAATGTACGACTCGTCCTCGAATACAAGCAGTACCAACAGTTGGTATCAGTCAGTTGGATTGGTTGATAATTGATTGAGTTGGTGTATTTGTTAATAACCTATTTACTGTCTAAATATTTTTGACTAGTAAAAAATTATGATAGTAATAATAGATAGTCGTGATATTGTTGCTGTTGTTTTGAATCTTTTCGAAATCAGATTTCTGATTTGGGTGGTGGTATCCCACGTTCTCAAATGGATTTAGTTTTCAATTACACTTATACAACTGCCGGGCAGGCTAAACGATGCGGTGAAACATCTTTATTGTCAATGGAACCCAAACCGCCTGATCAGGGAACCAGTGCTCCAATGGCAGGTTATGGTTATGGTCTTCCACTTAGTCGATTATATGCAAAGTACTTTAATGGTGATCTTATACTATCCAGCGTAGAAGGCTACGGAACTGATGCTATAGTATATTTAAAACGTAATGCTGCTGAAGCTGATGAACTACTTCCTGTGTTCAATCGTACCTCTGCTAAACAATACGGGAGTGCTAGTATCCCGGTTGCCGACTGGTCTAATCCTCATATAACAACTGGTTGGCGACGAAATTGAATATCCCTTTATTAAATTTCATTTTCACCATATTAAAGAATTTTCTAACCGGCATTTTCTCCTTTTTTGTGGATCTCATTAATTTAGTTTCCCATTTTCCCTCTTTCACCCATCACCATTAGATTTTAACTTGACACTATAACACACCAGATGACATCGATGTGAAGCTCAAAACAGTTTATCAATAGTACATTTTAGAGTTTTCGAAATTCCTTTCGTTCTCTTGTGAATATATTTCACAGAGGAATTAATTTATTTGAATGATGCTTCTCCAATTCCTGTTGTTATATATTTCAACTTTGCTCCTTATTAAAGTAATCACACATTCAGTGTATACTCTTATGAGTAGAATAAGATTTTCTTTCATCATCACATGAAATCTTTTGTTCTTAATTTCCATTTACTTATTACTAATTGTTATTTACAGGCAATATTTTAGTTATAAAGGGAAGCAAATAAGAAAACAGAATGTCTGAAAACATTTTCGATCCATCTTATAGTCTTACATTAAATGTGTTAGGAAACACTGTCTTAAAATTTTATAACTGACATTAATATTATTATCATTAAAAAGCTGATATTTTTGTTTTCTCTCTTTATTATTGTTCTTATTTTTCATATTCATCTTTTTCATCTAAATCATCTCATTTCCTACCTTCATTTCTCCTGAATATGCAAAAACAAAAATAGACATGTAATTCAATGTATTTGCTAAAAGTTTAATTAAATGTCTTTGATCATTTGCTTTATTGAACTGTAGAATATTTTTATTTATTGATATCATGCTGATCTTTTCAGTTTCGAATAAAAAAAATGTTCTTTTGTTCATAAATAACTTTTCTATTTTCTTTTAATATTGTAAAGGTACAGTCAGTTTAGATTGATATGATGTGCAGAGGAGGGGGGAATGTTTGCAAAGAGTAGTTTTTGACTGAGTCATAAGGTGACAAAAATTATATAACTAAGTAAGTTTTCATAGTATAATGTCTTAATACATTTTCATTGTGAATTCATCTTAGATGAATAATTGTGATAAACTTCATTTTCTCATTACATGATCCGAATCTAGATAAATAATTATTGAAAATAGGTAAGTATTGAAGAACTGTTTGATTCTATTTAAATTTCAATAATTTACCAACATTGAATTAACTACTTCTCCTGAATTCCGTGTTTATTTTGTTGTGCTAATGAGGTATGGCAACTTGAACTGATGCATATATGTGCTTGGTCCTACATTGTAGCTGGCTGATTTAACTTTCAAATATAATTTTCCCAAATGATATCTCCATACTATGTATTCAATTTCTACGAAACTATTCGTTCAAATATTAGTATAAGTGTTTTATAATACATATATTTTCTGTTATATACCACTGAGTAGAAAAAGTTATATTTCTGACATTTCGTGACTTAATTTAAACCACTTCTTCAGAGTAAATAAATAATTTAAATGTTTCATTCATTATTATTCTGAAATCGTTTCATTCTAGTTAGTTGTAAATAATTATTTAAAGATATTGTAAAGAATTATAGGAAATTTAATACGATTAGGTTGGGCTAGATATAGTTCCGTTTTTAATTTAATGTCTATGGTTCCGAAAAGGCGTTTAGTGTTAATTTTTTGATAATTGAACTCTTTTAATAATTGTGTTTATTAGCTAGAAATCGTTCATATTTTATTACCAATTATAATAAATATCTATGATGAAATTATTGTTCATGGAACATTAGTAGCATAATGTTCTGAATATTATACATCAGTAAATTAATCGTTCTTCAGTATATCTCACTTTGAAATTTTCAATTAAGTGTTTTGATAATCAATCAAATATAGTTAGTTAGAACAAAATTATGTTTAAAGGGAAATAAACATTTTACAGTTACTGTTGATTCAAGATTACTTCACTAATTCGGTATGCAGTCACGTTAATCTGGCAAGTTTGCTCTATTATAAATTATTTGATAAGAGGAGAAAAGTCAGTTACATTAAATGATTTTGTAAATACCAATTTCTTGGCGTATTACTTTATTCTGCACAATAAATCGGTGTTATTTAAACAAGCTGACATATGAAGTTTATCAGTTACGCTGAATCAAACGTTACTTGATAAGAACAGACAGTAAAACAGTTGACTTTTTTCCGTTATGATTTGTTCTGTTCAGAGCTAAATCGTATTTGTCCGACGTTTTAGTTTAATCAGTAGTAGAGTAATAATATAACATAAGTTCGTATGTTTAACGAGTTTTATTTCAGTGTCATCCTTGAATATGAATTATTCCTGATATGGGAGTATGCCATCTTTACAAGCTTATTAATGAATAAACATTCTGTTCCTGGCTGATCTATAAAAGATAGTAAGTTTTATTTGATTTTGTTAGTTGTTTGAGTATAGTTAAGAGTTTGGTGCATGCAAGTCTAATCTCCCTCACTGTGTTGATTATATTAGTGGAGGTTAAACAACGAGATCTAAAGTTCAACTCCTTTATCATTCATATTAGGTTCACTAAATTATTGAACTGACAGACAGATGGTGAAGCAGACGAGCCGCACATTTCAATCTTTCTATACAGATTATGTATTCTGTCTTGCACTTGTTACTAAAAATAGTTATTAATTATATATATAAACTTAAAAGTGTTATTAGCCTCGATGACCCTTCCATTTACTAGGTTTCAGTGTCCTATTTTACATTTCTCGTGTAAGGTTTGATTTTCGTTGATATATCAAGCCCTTTTTTAGGTTCAATTATTGAGAAATAATAATACAACTTGATAAGCAGCTAAATCTACAGTGTCAGTTATGCTAAATCACTGCTAGCGTCCCAATTAAATTTGTATTGTGGCGAAACGGCTGTAAAACACCTAGCGGATCCTCACAGCCGATTAGACGGAGGTAATTTGAATAGTGTTACTATATTGTTCATGAAGGATTGCTATTAGCAGTCAATGTCGGGCCTTCATCAATTGTAAGTTGATTGAGGGTTACTGGACTGTTGTTCGTGGGAATGTGCATTACAATCATGAGTGCGATTCCCTGGGGTACGATAACAATTCGTGGATGCGTAGGTTAACGGACGCGGAATTCGAAACAATGCGACCTCTTCTTATTTTGAGGACGTCTGCATTCAATATTGTGCACTTCGTTTACCAATCTTATAGTAAGCGCCAGAATCCCCAAGATGTTTTTAACATATGCCACAAAGTGTTTTCACAGGCCAACCTTCCTGGTAAGCAATATGCCTGTTTATATTGTAAATGCTAGGTGATTGCGCCAAATGGTAAGCTCACATCATGTCACTTGGTGGGTTTTGTGAGTACGAAATTGCTGAAGAAAATTATTTTGGGTACTTTTTCTTTGCAACTGCTTATCAATAGAATTTGACAACTCGTCTTCTCGATGTTGTTGATTTTGACGGGACCTACCAAACCAATGATGAAAATTTATATTTGTATCAAGTAGTTGTATTAGATATGAATTTAATGGCAATACCTGTTTTTATTGCCTTTATAAGTCGCGAAAATCTGCTTTTCTGTCGTAATTCCTGTCGTTCTTCAGACGTTCAACCAACATTCAAGAGTTGGTTGGTATTGTCACAGATAACTCACCTGTAACAGCTTCTGCTGTAACTCAAGTGTATCCAAACTCTCACCATATTTTGTGTCGCGTACATCCTATTCGTAATGTCATAAAGAGATCATTTGTTGCTGATGAAATACAAGTGGTTAAATTCGTTCAGACCCTCTACGACGCTCCTTGAACAAAGCAATACGAACTTCGTTGAGACAACTCATTGAGTGTTGAAGCTGCACAAACTCACTTAGCAAAAAGAACACTTGCGCAGAGATCTTTATTCAGTGTGCTTCTTCTGACTGGATATTGGATGCTACGTTGTATAATATATAAAAAAGAAGGAACTAACAAAATATTTTGATGAATGGCCACTAATGTATTAGTTATGTAAGAATCAAGAGACGAATAAGTAAATCATGTATACATATATTAGTTTAGAGGTATAATCACAGACTAATTGAAAATAAATGTCTATATCACCTAGTGAACACTAATCTGTCTAACCATGGTACATGCAAAATTTACTAAGAATGTCTTAATATTTTTTACAATGTTCACCTAGACAAATGTAAGTCTTTACTAATTACATAGAAATGAAATGTTGCTAAACATCAATTGACACAATTGACCTTATTCGTATTTATCAATATAATCGACATAAAAATTTATGATATGAGACGTAGACCTGTAAATTTGTACCTAATACGACTAGTTTTTTTGCAATTACTTGTCAAAAATGATTATTTTTTGTAACATTCAACTGTTTCAAGTTTAATATTAATATTATTCAAATATTACGATTATGTTACATTGTAATTGTTAGTATCCTTCTAGTATGTTTAACGAATAAAATCGATGATTCGAAAAATGATTCCAGACTTTCTAAATAAGTAACGTATGCTATCTTATTCACAAAAGGCATCAAAACATAATGATTTAGTCATACTGCACATCTACGAAACATTTGCTGTTGACGTAAAATGAAACATAAATCTAACTTTTAATTCCCAAACACAATAACTGAGTTAAATTACTGCATACGTAGTGAGGTTTTGTTTTCTTAATTATAAACAGCTCAACTATATAGAATGAACAATGTATAGTTTCAAATAATTTTTACTTTTAATGGATTTATAAAATAACGCAATCACAACCTTGCGTTTACTATAGAAACTTTTTTTTTCAAAGTGAAATAAAACAACTTTTTTACATTAAGAATTATTGTCAGCAACATTAATATTATTTGCTTCTTTCTCAGAAATGATTATTAATTTAAGAAAGCATAAAAGTTTTTTCATTTACGGATCCTTGATGTTTAGCTTAATTAATACATATCCTATTCATTATATTCTCATGATGATTTATTCATATGTTTACGCTCGTATAATGATTATTACAAGATCAAACTTTGTGTTAAAATAACTTG